TCACTTTCTGTTAGACACTCAAGTGACACAATGATGGATGTGTTTCACTGAGGCGAAAGGAAAACACTCACCTGTGAAGTTTCCAACTCATCGCTGCCGCTCCCTCTCCTTGATTGGTTGCTCGGGGTGCCGCTGTCAGACAGTAAGGGCCGGTAGCCAATGAGAGGCACGTCGCTTGACTCCACCCCCGGCAGGTCATAACCACCTGTTCGCAGGTTACGGGGGAGCATGGTGCCAGCTGCCACAGACAGGGAGGACATTAGGAAAGAAGTACTTCATGCTCTCTGAGGCAGCAGTTCAGGTTAACATATTGAGCGTTTGTTGGAAGTGATAATATGAATTTGTGTACATGATAGTACAAAGTATCATTTATCATTCTAGATAAGTATAGAGAACAGGAAAGCACTTGCTGCCTTTTATTTTTAAGTATGTGTAAACTTCACAGAATGGTTAACTGGCCAAAATATATTTCTGATTTAGATCATCTGGCAGAGGTCTGCCCCTGTCGAAGCTTTAATACACAGGTTTTATGAATCACATAATATCTGCTCCAACTTTCAGTTTTAAATTGAGCCTTACATTGTTCTGTTCGTCGGGGCCTTTTATTGAATTATCTTTAAATTAACTATAGATGTTTGTTTTTTCCAATCATAGCATGTTATTGTTTTTCTATTATATTTTAGTATTTTTTAAACACTTTGCTGTGTTACTATAAAGATGACTAATTGTTGACACAAAGGTAGAAAAGAGGGGTTTTCCAGTCTATTTTTCAAAAATACGTTCCGATAAATGTATTGCAGCTTTTATTTCCACGCCCTGTTTGTAACTCACTCACTATGAATATTCTGAACTTCTCAAGATCAACATTGGTAGCCGTGACAGGCAGAGTACCACAAGCTTTGAGTGAAAGTCCATGACATTTTAAATGGAAAGAACACACTACAGTAAGTTAATGGCAGCTTGGAGGCCATAGCGTGGTTCATTTGTTTAACACATTCATTCTGCCCCACAGCAGGTCAGGATTTGCATAGCAACCCCTTCTTCCGTTTCCCTTTCCTCACTTTGGTATTTGGATCGCCATGAAGATAGACATCTAGTAAACACTGTTTCAGGAAGATAGGAGGGAGAGAGATAGAAAGGTTGACACAGTATATATGTGCTATGGAAATGAGACCTATATATTCAATACATTTACAGATAAAGGATGTGTGCGTTGAGTTTATTTAGTTTTTTCCCTCCAGCATAGTGTGCAGAATGGCTGTCAGGTGGCTGCTGTAATTAAAAGTACACCGAATCTATCCCCTACACCACAGTGCCTGCTGACACTTCTATCCTGGAGAAAATGTCCTTTCGGGACCCCCTGGCAGCTCTCACAGCTCTGGATAAGAAACAACAGGGGCAAAAAAAGCCTCAAGTGTAATATAAAAATGTGCTGGCACTCCCAAATTTCCATTGTGCTTCTCTCTCTGACTCCTGCAGCTCTGTAGAATGTGTTTCTCCTACGTAATGATCTATCATTGCTGTAGATTTCTTGTACCATTATAATATTGCTTAAGAAACTGAAGTCATAAACAGATGCAGTTTATGTCCCGACCAACGGCCATGCAGAGTTCTGAATGCCTGCTATTCACGCTCTGCCCAAAGCAAACAACCCACATATGACTGAGGTGTACACTCATACTGTTAGCTGTAACATAGGTTACAGTTAAGTCCCAGCCCAGAATGCTCCTTTTCTGCTCAATAATACCGCCATAGGATGCTGGTTACAGTTATGCTAACTCCTATAGAGATAGCTTCTGTCACAGTAGATGATGTAAATAAAGCCTGACAGTGTGAGGGCTGTAAAAGTTTGTACCTGCTGACACTCCTATTAAAACACACACGATTGACAGATGTTGATATGTGCTTCCTATATGAGTCACTCAATCACATGAAGGGAATTCAAACAAACACAGCACAATTAACCGAATAGAGGAACAGAAATTAAGGAAGCTGTAATTCAACTTACTTATAGCCAAGTGTCATTCGTAGGATGTGTGTTATCCGGCGGTGGTCAGCTGGATTCAGGCAGCATCGGGTGACCGCTGCTGCTGGGTCGGTGTCCGGCTCAGCTGAGGAGAATCGCGCCCATCTGTGCCACTGTCACCGCCGACAACCACAAGGGTCTCCGTTCCCCCACCCTATCTCTCCCCTCTATCAGTGTCCTCGCACCGCTCGTGTGTCCAGCTTTCAGTAGCTGATAGCGCACATCGGACAAGCAGTAAACTCCCTCTCTCTCCTCTCCTGCCCACCCCCCTCTCTCTATCCCTCTCTCTCTCCCTCCCTCTCTCTCTCTCTGACGTCGCAGTTCCTGTATGTTGCGCTTTGGCAACAGCCCCGTCTCTCTGGGTGGTGCACCGTGTGAGGATACTGTAGCCTACGGCTGAACGCCTTTAACGCACTGCTCCTGTAGGGAGATGTGACTTCAGGAATCGAGGAGAGAAACACTCGCTGCAAGCCACGAAAGCATTTCCGCACACACGGCTCTCGCGTACGCACGCACGTAGCGTTTAGGCTACACACGCGCTTTTCTGTTGCCAATGACAGTTCCTAAATTCTGTATCTTCCCTCGCATCATCTAACCGTACCCTGACCTTAATTCCAACATTGCAGAGGCTATTTATAACTTAATTTAAATAACCTTGGTTCATGCACTGTCAAAAAGATCTGTAATGGAGGCAGTAAATTGCTATATTACCCACAGTAATTTACTTTGAATTTGTAATACAGTGTGATACTGTACTTTATTATGCTGCATTGTGGGAATATTATCCTTAGGCGTAGCCTATATGTATACAACATACACAATTACAGTAATATACAGTAATATAAAAATACAGCACTGATTTTGATAATGTAAACAAAATACCGGATCGCTACTGTAAAGTAAAAATACAGTAACTTGTTGGCAACTCTGCTGCCAGTAATTTACTGTAAAATCCCCTGTATTTTTTTGTACAGCGTGCTTAATGTACATCCAATCTATTTTAATTCTAACCTAATATTACTGTAATAACCAAAAATAATCCACATCCTAAAACTTTAATGTAAAGTTTGACTGTGGAAAACAATTATATTGGCTCAATTACATTTACTAGTCCTACTATTTTTAGATTTGTCCATAATCTGATTCCCCGCATGTTAAAAAAACAACAAGTGCAAATGTGCCCTCTTGGATGCCAATACAGATATCGAAAGAGTAAGAGAATGATTCATTCAAATGTATGTGTGTGTTTGTTTATGTGTTTGCCCCTGAGTCTCATGGTATCTCATGACACTGATCCACACAGTATATTGCTTAACCCTCCATTGATTAATTGACTGATGCTCTTATCAGTGGGGGTCAGAAATGCCGATAGACTAACTGAAGTTAGACATGTTGTTGCTGTTACTCAACTCTAAGGCAATTATTAATGGGACTGTCCC